TCAGGACAGTATGTGAGCACTTGAATATTATACAAGTGATAAAAAAGAAAAAAAAATGCATCAAAAAGGAAATTTCAAAACCGAAATGAAAAATAAAATGTCAGGCCGAAACCAAAACCAAAATTCCTTTTTTCTAACCTTTTAAAAAAGTTTTTTGAAGCAGCTGTCTGAGGGCGCGCAGGGGGCGGGGCGCAAAAATGCACCTTCGCCTGTGTAGGAAAAAATCCTTGCACCGGCCCTGCACTGATCCCTGGGAGAGAAGCTGTATGCCGGCGGAGCAATTATACACCTCTGGCTATTAAGCCTTCAAGGAGAACTATGAGGGGGGGGGATTTCCACTCCCCTCATAGTTCTAGCCGACCTGTGACAATGAGACTGTCACAGGTCGGCTCAGTAGATCGGGAAGTGAGCGAACACATACCGGCGTTCGCTCACTTCTCGATCCTGTCACGGCTCTCTGACGTGACAGGGGGAGGGGCTGGATTCCCCCCTCCCCGCTCCGATCCGCCAGCGCTGACTGGCGGAACGGACGGGGGAGGGGGCTGGTACAGCTGCCTCTAGATAGGCGGAGCCAGCTGTCACTCACGCAGCTGGGCGGATCCCTTCATCTACGTCGGGATCCGCTCCAGCTGCGGCGTCTCGGTATACCGCGAGCTGTAGCTCCCTATATACTGAGCTTTGGGTGACGGGAGGACGCTAGTTTGTGTCCTCCCATTACCCTAAGGAGAACTATGAGGGAAAGCACTGACCTCATAGTTCTCCTTTAAAGGTAAGTTTTTAAAGAATTTATGGTGAAAGGTTTTAAGGATTTCACACTGTGTGGCGTCTACATTCTTTTCCCACGGGGCGCTGAAAGAGTTACAAGGAGAAGTGTTGCTGAGGAGGGTCATATCGGCCATTTATAAGGTGAATTGACTGGAATTGGAACAACTTGAACCGACCAACAGTTTCCAAAAACCCAGCGAAGTGAAAGGAGATATTGACTACAGAGGAGGACGTCCTCAGCTGTCCTGGGAGAGCGGCTCGCTATGGATTGTAATCTGAGTGCAGTCTGACCAATTAACAGAGGTCAGAGGAGTCTGGTGAGTGTATTGATTGCACAGAAACACTAAGGATATCACACATAAGGTGCCCACACACCTTACAATTATCTGCAGATGTTCTATGGTCATATGGAAAAAGTGCAACAGATTCCCCCATCTACGCTAAACTGTGTGTATGGAGGAATCTCCCGCTGGGCCAAGCTTCAGTGTCTTGCCAGTCGGCCCCCGCTGGCTGTCAGAATACCTGAAGAATCTGATTGGATGCCGGCATTGTTCAGGTGTCTTGAGAGCCAGCGTGGGGCGACCAGCAAGATTATGGAAGCTCGGTCCAGGTGGAGATTATTCCATCCACACAGTTAAGTGTAGATGGGAGGAATCTGTTGCACCTTTTCCCTCTGACCATAGAAAATCTGCCGATATAATCGGCAAGTGTATGGGCATTAGTTCTCCTTTAAGAAATACCTTTTTGGAATGGAGAACAATTGCACTTTATATATTGCTGACATAACCTCTTAAAGAGACATTTTGTGTGTGTGTGCGAGTGTTTTATAGAGACTGATTTGTGGAGTTGCACGTGTGATCTGGATCACAACACATTGCACGTGCAGTTTTGAGATTGTATTGAATGTAAGTATTGGGGAGGTGACGTATTGTGTCGGGACAATCACTGGGCACTTTATTGGTTATGTATAAGTTGCAGGTTTTTTTAACACAGGGATTTTTGTCTTGAGAACAATAACCAAAAAGCCGTCCCCACTCATGGCCTGGACAGTCCCACAATAAAATTTTTCCACCCACCTCTGGGCACCTCCCCTCCTTCTTGTCCTTCGCCACCTTCCCTTCGCTAAAAAATGATTGATCCCCTCAAATCCCAATTTTTTTGTTTTAGAAAGAGAACATTCTGCGCCTTCCGTCTCAACGTGTGGCCCAGCGTTCTCACTGCCCTGCTTCTCTGCATTTGGGCTTGTGTTTGTTGATATTCAGCAGGGCACCTGTAAGGTAACAACTACTTCTGCGCAGGCGCGTAGTCCCGTTTTCCGGGTAACTGGAAAACGCGCGCATCCGCGAGCAACGGCCATATGCGCAGAAATGTGCGCACGGCAGTCACACAGGAAGTGATGCTTCTCCCTCTAATGGATTGGCCTATTTAAACGAGCCTGCCATATCCTTAGCAGCTAGTCCCCTTGTGTGTCTGTGATTCTGCCTTGATACCGTGTTTTGTGTGTTTGACCCGGACGGTACCCAGGGCTGTAGCTACCATGGGGCGAGTGAGGCACTCGCCTCAGGCACAGCTGAGAGGGGGCGCAGTCAAGGCCGGCCTGGCTGCGCCCCCTCGCCCCCGTCGCCATGGCAAGCACAGGGCGCTATCGGCAACAGGGGCGCCAGGTGGCCAACACAGCCCCGGCTCGGCACGGAGAAGGGGAGCAGCACAGGTTCCAGTTTCTCCTCGGATCCCCGCTGCTCTCCCCCGCCTGTATGGGCAGAGGACTCTGTGTCCTCAATCTCTTTTTCTTTATCAGGGGGTCTGTTTAGATCCCTAAATATTTTCCCGAAGCCCCCCCCAACAGTAAAATAATAAATACATTAAAACATACACACACACGCACACATATTACTAGGCATGTGCAAAGACTAAACATTTGTTTCGGACAAAATGAACGTAAACTAAAATTTTTTTATTAGTTTCGTCAAATGAAATAAATTTTTATGCCATTTTGGATTTGGCCGCCAGCGCATTCTGGAGGCGGGGCGCATGACATCACATATCGCACACGTCTGTTGGGGGCAGGCCCGGCGCTACCGCAAGCCAAGTCAGGCGGCCGCCTGGGGGCGCTCCAGGGGGAGGGCG